GAAAAAATTATTAGCCGTGAAGGGTTATCATATCATTTTTGAAAACCTGACGTAATTGCTGTTGCAGTTGATAGTCTCAAATAAGCCCTTAATTCATTTTCAGCTGAAATGCAATTTTGAAATTTATCTACGCAGAATAGCATTGGCTAAACCTTAACAATCTTCTTTGACAAAATTCGCCTAAGTAATATCGAGAAGATATTAATTTTTATCAAATGGCAGGGGTTTTGATGGTTATCATTAGCCCTTAAACTGACTTCGGACTTCACAGAGGGGAAGGAACATCAAAGTGAAAAAAATTCAAGAGGGTGGACAGAAGAGAGTTTCACAGATGTAAATTTACAGACTCAAAGGTAGAGAAAATGTAAGATGAGTACTGTAGAAGTGGTCGACTATGACATACAGTGGGGTCATGGTAGTTTGAAGTGAGAAGTCAACTGCCAGTTAATAGATTTTTTGCCGTATGAGTATACCAAATAGTTAGAACAACTCTATAAATGAAGTTGTCTAATGCATTATTCAACTTTATATTTTTAAGATATACGATATTCAGTGGCTCATGAGTTGTGTGCCAATGGAATGACTTTCCTCATTAGGAAATGCATAAAAGCCTCAAGGAAATGCCTTCTTTGACAAAATCAGCCCAAATAACATCGAGGAGATATAGTGTTTAGGGTGAAGTGAGTACCACTGACACAAAGCTGTGACTGTTGATTGTTGACTGGCTGAGAGATCTTTTACATTCAGGACGCACTACTTTACTATGTAATCAGTAGCACGGGCATATCCGAAAGCGGTTGAGTTGCCAAGGGATTCCTTTAATTAGATCTTATATTGTTGTGCGCTTCGTAATTATATACTTTAGCAATAAGCCCACCTATCTAGTGCACTCAATGTGTACTCAATTTGGCGCAGGAAAATCAGCCAATCAGAAATTGAAGTTAGTCCCCTCCTTCTTCGACTTATAACCTCAATGTAATAAAAGTTGAAGGTTATAGAGAGACCACTAACCAATTGTACTATGATGCGTATGGATGTTTCCATCTTATTACGATTAGAAGTCCTTTATGTTCTCCTTGCTCTCAAGACCTTCCCTAGCACCCTGGGTTTCATTGATGACTGTGTACTAGCCAATAAGACAAATCTCACTAACGTGGATGCTGTCATCTACGCCGGAGGTCGTATTCATTCCAATACAACGGATATACCGTCAGCTGTTAGAGAAGACCTCCTAGAGGCTCATTGGGTAAGTTCGATTGGAATATTTTGATCGATTTCCGTAGATTTATCCACTATTCGATGAAAGACATAGTGTGCATACACCCAGATATACTCCAAAAACGATAAAACGGATTGTAAGCGCTTTACTCAAGAGTGTCTTTGAAATTTTTATCCCTAGATATGTGCTACATTGAAGCATTTGTCACCGATATTGACAATACTTTAAAAGTCTACGATTCTGCTGCTCAGGTTGGAGTTCTGTAAGTGCTTATAGCCGAATGTGCACATCTTTGCAATGCTAACTTTATCATAATACTTGTTGAAAGTTGGAAAGAGCGAAAGTGTCCCTATTAAAATAGATGTTGGTGAAGTGCGATGAAAGGAAATGAATTAGGTTTACCATGGAATAATAAAATTAATATAAATTGGGGTAAATATTTAAAGCTAAAATAAATTTAATGGGACTACAAAGGCTCATGATGCTCTGCTGAATTTAAAATATAGTCCGGTGTAGAAATTAACATTATATCAATCTTGCTATTGACCTGTCTCTAGTTGTCCGCCAGTAAGCATCGATTTTGAGAACTTTGGCCTAAATGACGCGCATAATATCCACTGAATTATTTAACCATAAAGTCATATTAGGGATGGAATTTCTATAAGCAATAATGAGGAGCATGAAATCAAGGTTTAAAAATTGATCCAGTCGTGGTTAGGACCTCGTTTTCTAAGAAAAAACACCATTTGCCGGTATTTTGAGAGTGTTCGGTTAAAAATAGCATTTATAACCAATTGGCTGGCAAAAGTATCGAATGCTCGTTTTCAAGTGCACTTTTGGGAATTACGTTTTGAACGATTGCAAAACGATGAAATTTTTAAAGATGGTGTGATGGCGTACTTAAGTATTTATTTATTTATTTCAAATGGCAGGCGTTTTGATAGTTATCCTTAGCCCTTTAGCTGACTTCGGGCTTCACAGAGGGGAGAAACATCAAAGTGGGGAAAATTAGAGAGGAAGGACAGAAGAGTGATTCACAGATGTAAGGGAGACAGGCAGACACAGATACAAAGGTTGAGAAAAGGTAAGATGAGTACTGTAGGTGTTGTAATATGGCATAGTGTCGGGTCATAGTAGTTAGAAGTCAACTGACGGTTTATAGTCTTGTTTGCCGTATGAGTATAAGTTGCCCAGGGTGCAACACGTGGAGGTCAGTCTATCACAAACCCCATGTACACAAATATGTAAGATTAGTTGTACATTTGTTACAAATGTCCTTGTGAGACTTTCACCCCCAAATAGTGAGAACAACTCGATAAATGAAACTGTCTAATGAATTATTCAGCTTTTTATCTTTAAGATTTACGATATTCATTGGCTCATGAGTTGTGTGCCAATGGAACGACTTTCCTTATTGGGAAATGCATAAAAGTCTTAAGGATATGCCTCACAAAGTACTTCCAAGTCCTCTACCCCCCTCACTTTTACTTTGTTGTACTCTGTTACCTTTAATATTCCACATAAACGTTGCACTTTCGCTTACCATAAAGTAAAACCTCTCAATATCTCTACCTGTTGATTGAAATTGTCGTATAATTTCTTTGTAAAATAATTTAGTAACCACTATGTTAGGCAGTCCTTGTTTCAATGTATTGCCGTAGGAATTTTGTTTTCTGTCATTTATTTCAAATCCATTATCCACCGTATTCGAAGTAGAACGTAACAGTTTGTCAACGTCAATGCAAAAAAGTAAGTTAGAAATTCATCAGTGGATGAAATGCTCTAAAGTGATTGCCACCAGTTTGTTAATTGCGTCACTATTAAAAGTTTATGTTTCATAAGCCATAATCGCTGTCTCCAACCTCTGCCTTCGTTCTGTTCCTAGATGAACATTATCGCTATTTACTAATGGAAGGAACGGAGTTAGGGATATCTGATAAAAGGAGATACAATGCACTATTGAGAGTCCAAAGACAAATTATCAAGGAGACTGATTCCAATCCTAGAAGGCGAACCTTGAGCGTTGTGGTTTCATCAATTTCAAAGATTTAGCTGCAGACACTAAGAATATCGTGTCCATTTCACAAATAAGCGAACCCTTATTATATTAAATCATTTGTCACACATCTGACTACCTCCTATGAGGATAAATATCAGTTAACCTCGATCGAGCATCCATGGGATGACAAACTTTTACCAGCCTACTCCAAACAATTCCAGTGAATCAAGTAACTTTAAATTAGAAATTTAATTATAGACAACCCCTTGAATCAAATGAGTCTCAGATCATGCTGCCTCTGTTTATTGGCCCGTTTGAATATGAAAGATTAAAGAAATAAAATATCACTGTAACGTCATCGCCTTTTCACTTCCACGTTATTGCCATGAGAGCACACATGTAATGGTGTCAATCGAGGTCATTCGTCAATTGGTCTGTTTCTGTTACCTCACAGTCTGCTAAATCGGTAATGGATTTGCTAAATCCTTGCCTTTGTAGCTTAAAAGTGCCCATAAATCAACTTAATCTAATCATTTGGGTGTCAAGCAAAAAAATTGGGAAAATTATTCCACCGATGAAAATATTACATAAAACCATAACATTTCAGGCCCCTTCAATAACACATATCCTCAAAACGAATAAGTGCCTTCCATAATAAAGCGTTCAATTAGTGCTTAAACTACGTAAAAATATTTCAGAAATGGGAGAACGCATTAGGGAGCTGGATGAGGTGTTCCCCTTAAGAGGAAATGTTCAAATCATATTCTGAAAGTGTAGAAAAAAGTTTCTGTTTTAAACTAATTTTGCCAATGCCAATCTGCTCCATTCACACACTCACCTGGATACCACCACTGAGTGGAATAGGATGCACAGTGCTGTCCATTCAAACAATAATCATGTCAGTGCTATGATAAACAGGACTACAAAGATTCATGCAGTCTCTTAAAAAATAGCAATTCATTGAAAATCCAGGCATTCAGGAAAAAATTACATTCGGTTTGATATGGTTAGTGAGTCAGACCTATCGGTCATTTCTGTACCTGACTTGGGACTGGACAACCTTGCAACTCCAATGACAGCTGTTAATCTCTCTCACACCTAAAATGTAAAAGCTAACTTCTTTCAAAATTTATTTAGTTATATCAACTAGAAAGGTTTATGATAGTTATTATTAGCCCTTTAATTGACTTCGGGCCTCACAGAGGGGAGTAACATCAAATTCACAAAAAGTCGAGAGGAGGAGCAGAAGAGTAATTCACAGTTGTTAAAGAAACAGACACAAGTGTATGGAAAAACGTAAGGTGAGTACTGTGAAAGTGGTGGAATATGACAAACAGTCGGATCATGATAGTTTGAAGTCAGAAGTCAACTGCCGGTTAATAGACTTTTGTCGTATGAGTATACGTTGCCCAGGGTGCCCCACGCGATGGTAAGTCTATTACACGCCCCTCTTTCTAAATCTGTTTAGAATATAAAAAACACTGCAATCTACAGTATATACTGAACTTTTCACGAAATTACGTTCATTGATTATTTTCACATTCAGAGCTCACCCTGGTTCATTTAACAAGTACAATGAAAATATTCTCCTCGTGATCGGACCAGAAACTTTTAACAAGACAATACCATGGAGATCGCGTAAAATGGTCTACCTTAACACTATCCTGGAGGTACTTTTCCTACTCTTTGAAGTAAGCCATGTTTTTTTATCATAACTAATAATAAGGGACGAATATGTCGAGGTGACTTTTAAGTCTTGTTAATTAATAAAGTTTTTGACATGATCTAAAAATGATTCCCAATTACTTACAATAGTTTGTTAAATAAACTGCTATAAACACCGACTATTTTCAAATATTTTTACCAAATCAATTAATTGAGTCCCTATTTTTTACTTTTCAGTGATCCATAGTGGCCTATGCACATTTACAGGAACACAAAAATTTTGAGTCCAAATTTATTTACTTTTCCGATTTCAAAATAATTTACTATTTTAAGAATGTCTTAATATAGGCTTTTAGTAACCAATAAGTGGAAAGATAATCCTTCCTGACAAATTTCAGGTTGGATCTCTGTAAATGGAAAGATTATCAAAACATACTAAGCTAGTTTGCTATCAAACATCATAAAGCTAATGACGTAAAGTATTTTAAAACTCCGGCAGTGCTCAGGGTTTCTACTCAATTCCAACCCTTGTTTAGATTCATTCCAAAAGAATAGAAGGAGTATCCAAATGTTTCTTACGGCTCTGCGTAAACTATTTATTGAAATGCATTAACTTGTTTATTGGTTATTGCAATAAGTCAATTTTAATGATTAGTGTTTAAGCGGAGGTTTTACTGTTCCAATTTTCACTCGTTTCATGTGTTACTACTACATATTTCAGTCCAAAATATTTATTTATGTCAAATGACGGGCGTTTTGATAATTATCATTAGCCCTTTAGTTGACTTCGAGCTTTACAGAAGGGAGGAACATCAACGTGAGAAAATTTCGAGAGTTGGAGCAAAAGAGTGATCCAGAGATGTAAAAGAGACAGACAGACAGACACAAAGGCTGAGATAAAAGAGAGGTGAGTACTGTGGAAGTGGTCGAATACGACATACAGTTGGGTCATGGTAGTTTGAAGTCAGAAGTCGACTTCCGATTTAGAGACTTGTCTACCGTATGAGTAAACGTTGCCCAGGATGCACCACGTGGAATTAAGTCTATCGCACACCTCACTTCAGTCCAAAATATTAGTTGAATTGTTATAAAGGGAAGTCTCAGAAACCATTTGTTTCACCCAAATCGACTACTTTCCTGAAGACTTTATTTCATACCATGTAATAAGGTCATTTTTCTGTTTCAGCCTCATAGCTTAAAACAGCGCTACAAACAAATGTATGTTTATAATGCAACTGAAGAAGTTCTCGTGCTAGCAAAAAGCATTGAAAGCGGACGCAGAATAGTCAGATACATCTCTAATGTCGGCAACGAGAATCTAACTGCTGAGAATGTTGCCAAAATGATGGATAAATTTTTTGATCCAACAATTATCACCCAGGAGTTACTTGACTACCCTCAAGGCAGCAAATCAAAAAGTAATTCTCATTTATAATTTATTTACCTTACAAATACCTTTAAATCCACTAAAACGTGGCCTATAATGAAATATATTTAAATCCAATTAACACTTAACATTAATATTTGATAAAGCAAATTTTGACTCTTAAATAAATAATTAAATACATAAATAGTGATTTCAACTGTTATTAAGAACTTGATTTATTTTAATTTTATTTTTATCACTTATTAGTTTATAATTTATTATTATGTAATGAAGTTTCTGTAGAAATGTATTGTGGAGAATAACTAAAACCAACTAAGATAAGGTCTAGTGAATGATGATGATTAGTGAATAGAAAAGATTCTGAGTTCAACTTCAAAGTAACATAAAAAATTTAACCTTTCACATAATGCGAACACTTATTGGCTAGATCTCTTCTCAGTGCATTGTATTGGTGACAGTAATGGGAGTGGCTGAAATAAGCTCGACTTCTGAAAATGTCGTTATCCCCCAGTCACAATACTTTCAGGTGATAATTTATTTATTCATTTCCGTTCACTTAATTTAATGAGTTACAAGAGTTTTTTAAATAAACTGGTATAAAATACGACTATTTTCAAACTTTTTTAATAAAGCAATTGACTGAGTCGCTGTTTTTTACTGTTTATTGTTAATAATGGAATAGTGAAACATTTTGATGAATATGTATAGTTGTTTAGACAGTATATTAAAACAAAACATTATTCTAGTCAGTGGGATGCAAAATATGAGAGTGTGGTTTTCGAACTAAAATTAGACAATGGGATAATTAGCCATTGTAGCTATGCCACACATATTACGATGGTCTTTCGCTATCATAACGTAGCCCTTCATTCCCCACTTGGTACCCCAACTGTTCTTCACCAGCCAATAAGGTTCGTCTTTCAACTTGCCGTAGCCAATTGCGAGAACACCATGGTTGAGGATTTTGCTTGAGCACCAATGGCTCTTGTAAATTCCATGGCTGAAAAGTAAACAAATACAAGTCAATTCACTGAAAACTTATAAACGTAGTTTGGCCTTTACACTACTAAAACGAAATAACTTTCTAGGCAATGCTTAAGATAATCACTTTTACATATGTGATTTAGTGTCTGTCTCTTTGGCATCTGCGAATCATTCTTCTGTCCCCTCCCCTCCC